TGCTGCTGCTGCTACTCTTAATATCAGAGCTGTGTTCTGGACCCAGGAAGTTCACTGCATGGGGATCTGGGGTTCAGCTCTTGCTGGTAATGAGATCCCGCCTCCTGCTTCTCAGAGGGATCATTTTATACACAGCAGGATGGCATTCCATGGAATGCTGTTCCCAGTTGCTCACAAGTGAATCCTATCAGAATCTTTCCCCACCTTCTTACTGGACCCACATGGGCAAAGGTCGTTGGGTGGAAATTACAGACTGGCTAGAAGAGCCATGTTTAATAATCTTCTGCCCCTGCAATAAGGCCAAAACAATTCTTAACAGCCTTCTTCATAGAAATACCAAATAGTGCAGAGACCCTGCATCTGACTAGACAGGATTAGTCGTTACACTTCACTGTTTTTCTGGCTCATCTTTCTGCTCCTATACATGTACACATTTACGCACTCACATTTTGAAGATGACTATTAGGAGCTTTAGTCCAGTTCTTGGTTTTTCCACTTTAGGGGAACCAGATGATGTGAAAATGGAAGTCAGAATCCCTATGTAATCAAAATTTGTGAATGAACTAGTCACAAAAGTGCCTTCCAATGTATGTATGATGCGATCTGGTAGCTAAGTTATAAGAGCTTGTTTTTTACACCAGCCGAACGGAAAGTCTAGAGCTATGTGTAAACTGTTTTAAAGTGTGGCCTTCAAGATAAGGTTGAAGATGATTAGTTAAAAGTTACCAAAGTGCCCCTTAAATTTTCTTATTCCTTACTTTCCTAGCTATTATAGCTACATATTTCATGTTTTGAAAGGTGACAAAATCATATTTGTGAATAATTGGAACAAGGTCTTGAATGGAGAGTACCCTCTAAATTTTAAAGGTAGATCATTTATAGTTCATGGAATGGGACCAGAAGGTGGCCACTGTTTACCTCTGATCATTTTCCTGAGCAGCCATCGTTTTAAAATGTTTGCTGTAAAAAGAAATATATATTTGACATCAGCATTTGCACTTTATTTTCATAGCGAGCGTGATGCACTTGAACAGGAAGTCACTGAGTTTAGGAGGAAATATGACATACTTGAAGCCTCTCACAAAACTCAAGTTAAAGAAAGAAGTGACTTCTCAAAAGAGGTAAGCTTGTCGAGTCCCTTGAATTGTATTAAACCACAGTAGTAGAAACTCGCCCGGGGCAGAACTGTGGAAGGGACAAATGACCTTTGTTGATGAGATTGCCAGAAAAGAAGGGCCTTCTGGTAACTCTGTTTGGACCACAGATTGAAGGTAAGAATTTGTCATTTGTAAAGGAGAAGTCTGCTCTCGTAAGTACGGAAGCACCGTGACAGAAGTAAGATGGCACTGCTCTTGAACTGTTGTCTCCACGTCTACATAGGTGGCCACTTTACAGCAGACGGTTACGTTACTGCAAAAAGATAAAGAGTATCTCAATCGCCAAAACATGGAGCTCAATGTGCGCTGTGCCCATGAAGAGGACCGCCTGGAGAGACTGCAGGCTCAGCTGGAGGAAACCAAGAAGTCCAGAGAAGAGATGTATGAAAAATATGTGACATCCAGGCAAGCTTTCCATTATCTTTCACGCAGATAGCTATAAATAAACACCATGCTCCCCGAGGGACCTCGTGGCTGGCGTGGGGGAAGAATAGTTTATTTTGTTTCGGTCTAAGTCTGGGATGACACTAAGATAGTATTTCATTTTCTTTTGTTTGTTTGTTTGTTTTCTAAGCTAGTGGGGGTTTTTCCCAACATAAACATCCAAAAGTATTTTTCTTT